GCACGTTACACATGGTAAAAACAACTAAACGTCCTTGCAGCCAGCCCGTTTGCCGGGATTCAAACCCAGGACCGAACCAACCGCTGGTGGACCTCATTACACATAGGAAAAAGTACGAAAAATACCCAGCAGGTAGTCCGTTCGTTGGGATTAGAACCTGGAACGAACTACGAGTGCTCAGCTGTGGCGAAATCAATCTTTTTCTCTTTGCTTATACTGTAAATAGCCAAAAAATATTCTTTGAATTTTCCAAAACTGAAAATCATTAATATAAATTAAGTGTTCCTAACGGGGTCGATATAAACCACCTAGATCGTCCATGAAATTTTAAAGGTTGTCGATACCCGAATATGTATCGGCAATTGATTAGCATAATCAAGATCACATTGATTACAAAAAATTATTAATTGTTTATTGATATAGAGCTATATCAATGTAGTATGGAAGAACTCATAGAAAATAAGGGAAAAAATACACAAAAATTATTTAATATATTTTTGCGTTCTACGAGTTCGTGGACTTGGAATGATTGAGAATAACAGTTGATGAAGAATCGAAATACAATTTATGCGTCAATATTAGAATCAAAAGACAATTTACTAGTCAGTATTATATAGGACAGTTGCAAAGACACGTTAGAGTCGTCGATAAACGACGACAAACACGCTGAAACAATCAGCAACACAGCCTTGAGCCTACAACGGTGAAGACAGCTTCAAGGCAAAGCACTAAAGTACAGCCTCTGAGTTCGGTCGTTCTCAAGCTAATTTCTGAACTCAAAACAATAATACTGAACCCAACATACTCTAAATATTCTCCTACTCCGCGTATAGGCAGGGTATATATAGCTTTTGACTTGCCTTTGAGAACATTCTCGGGAAAACCGGTAAGATTTCGTTCTAGAATGTTCTCGCTCCGTCTATGGTATATCGTCTGTTTTGTCGCTAAATTGGCGACTTCGCGCCAAATATAGCAACCGTGCCTTTTCCTGTCACTTTCTAGCAAACCTAGCGCCGCTTTGCACCGTTTTGTAACACTGCCTCCTCCCAAGGACTGTATGTCACGGGCAGTACAATCCTTGGTCAGAAGCCAAATTCGATACAAACAAATGATAATAAAATGAATAAATAAGGTAAATAAAGATGAAATAAACAAAAATTTACACTATTTACAAGTTATACACACAAATTAACCACATAACAATTTTAAGTTATATAAATTAAAGTTCAGAAAGAATTTTGAGTTTCAGGCTTTTCATTAAGTTATACCCTGGCTAATGACGTTTTCACTGCAGTTCTCAGATGTATATCTGTTTTGCATATCACTGTCCAATCCTTTCGGATTTCTCATCCACAGGAAGATCTGAAGCAGTTTGGTCACTACTCTGTAGTTTATTCGCATCATGTTTCGATGTTTGTATTAGAGTTATGAATAGAAACCGATTCTTTGCAAACAGAAGTATCCTCGTTTAGAATCAAGTTTGTGTCTGTACAACTTCTGTTATGATACACACACTTAGTCTGAGAAGAGGCTGTATTTTCTTGCAATACTAGAACATTCTGCTTAAGCTTTAGATCAGCTTCTTCTCTGCATCACATAAATTTTCAGATGGTTCAATGCTTGCTAACTGCGACTTCGTAAATTCACTATCAGTTTCTACCAATTTAACAGTCACATTTTCACTTACTTCCATCTCTACTTCAGATAACTGAGAATCAGGAACTTTATTTTCATGAATTACTTCTTCACCTTTTTCAGATGCTATACTAGGCACTTCTTTATTTCGTCATCTTTGAAAACAGTATTATGACTTTCTTCCATCTCTTCTTCAGGCACTTGAGATTTAAAAATTTCTTTCCCAACTTTCCTTTCTTCATCTTTTCGTTGTTTTCCTTTAATCTCGTTAGATGTTTCATCGTTCATTTCTCGATCTTTCTCAGACAGTTCATTAGCCACTTCCTTCATTTCTTCATCCTTTGATTCTTCAAATGCCACTACTGTCATTTTCACATCTTCTATCTCAATTTTTCTCTCTGAATTCCACGATATCTCTTCTAATATACTTTTGCTCCACTGCTATCCACTGGAGTTGCTCTTGCAGCTTTTCTCCTTCGGCTTTTATTTCTTATTGAAACAATTTTATTTCGCTCACCAACTTTTCTTCTCCAACCTTGATCTCAGCCTTCATGTCTTCCAGTCCGGATTTTATCTCTTCCAGTCCGCCTTTTACATCTGCTTACAAGTCCGTCAAAGCCTTCATCTCTCCACCATGGCTTTTTCCTGTAGGCGCGTTACTGGCGGTTCACTCACAAATCCCACTCCTGACAACAGTTGTTGCGTTCTACAAGTTCGTGAATTTAGAGTGATTGATGACAACACTTAATGAAGAATCAAAGACAATTTAGTCATCAATCTTACGCAGGACAGTTCCAAAGAGGCATTACAGTCGTCGAAAAACTATGACAAACACGCTGAAACAATCAGCAACACATCCCTCAAGCTACAACAGAGAATATAGCTTCACGGCAACGCACTAAAGTATAGCTCCTGACTCGGTTCGGTCGGTCTCAAGCTAATCTCTGAACTCAAAACATTACTACTAAACTCAACATACTCCAGATACTCTCCTACTCCGGAGTATAGGCATGGTATATATAGCTTTTGACTTGCCTTCGAGAACATTTTCGGGAAAACCGGTAAAATTTAGTTCTAGAATGTTCTCTATCAGTTTATGGCATATCACCAAATGGGCGATTTCGCGTCAAACATGGCGAGCCTGCCTTTCCCAGACACTTTCTGGAAACCCTAACCCTGCTTTGCGAGGAAACTGCCTTACCGCAGCTGGGCATTTCGTAACAATATTTTAAAAATCAATATTCTTTTAGGTAAGCAATAAGTGTAGTGTAAGAAAGTAAAACTCAGGAACGCAAACATAATCAAAAAATACGAAAAAAGCAGAATTGTTGAACTACAGCAAAATCTGCGCCTATATTTTTCACACATGTCGGGTGTTGAAACTTGTTAAAAGAAGCTATGCTTAAATGGTAATTTCTTCATCAATATCTAAGTTTATCCCTTACCTTTGACGAGGAAGTGTACAAGTTAATTGCTGCTCCAGCTTCCATACATTATTAAACCGTTGTTTGATACATGTAGATTTTGCATGGTTGCAGAAGCAATTGCAACTCTGGAAATATTGTTATAAATTACGTAATAGTCTTTTTTATAATGCAACGTAGCTGCAATGAAAAACATTTTTTATCAATTCAGAAGTCAACCAACAAAAACCAGCGTTTTCAAATTTTCAACGCTGATTTTTGTTGTTTGACTTCTGAATAAGTATTTGTTTGGCGTGTTATTGTGTCTTAACTTTTATCAAGTTTATGCTCTTTGTTCGTAATTCTACTCGAATGAAAATATTTTCCTGTTTCCAACTTTTTTATCAGTTCTTTAATTTTTACAGTTTAAAAATCGTTAGTAACCTTGGCAATGGTAGTCCGAATTTTCTTTAACACTTGTCGAGGCATTTTAAAGGTAATGATAAGGCGTCATTAATAGATTGTTACTTTGTGAATTTAAGTTGGTAGAATAGTGGATGATTAATATATCCAATTTTCTACATCTTTATGCATTTTAATGATGAACCTTTGTTTATAGCAATGGGATATCTCATTTGCTATATCCGCCATGCCAATCTATTGTTGTGACCCTCAAAATGCTGTTATTTTATTCAATTAAATTCTTTGCTAGTGTTGTCTCGAATAGCAATGTTGGCTGGCCATGCGTAAATGTGTCTGAAAAATGTTTATTATTTTTAATCATGTAATGCTTGCACTTTTCTAGTACAGTGAGAAAATTACAAATAGAGTCACAGTTTGTCCACACCGAGAGCTGTTGAAAGACTTCCGGTATGCCAAATTCAAACTGAGCGCGCAAAAAAATATATTTTATCCTATTTTCTTCATTTTGCTTCAGTTTGCACTATTTTTCTCTGATTTCAGAATTTTGTCGTAAATTTCAAAAGTCTTGGCCACAAATAGAACTCGTCGATAAGTCATTCAAATGAAATGCAAAGTGTCAATCAATGTAATTAGTTTTTTTAATTTCATCATGATCCAGTACTAAACCCAGCAAAAACACGAATCTAATCTATGGAAATTACTCCCGCAAGAATGATACTCACTCTTGACCAAGCGGGTTCGTAAGCAATATAGGCAGATAGCCCTAGCGTACTTTTTCGTAATCAAATAAAAAAAATCAATGTTCACTATTTGACACATGTGAGAAAATCTTTCCTACAATGAAAATAATCACTTCGTAATTCAGAAGAAGACTAACTGCTTCAATATTTTGATATATGCTCAGGGCTGCAATCAAAAATCGAAGTGGACATGAAATTGCTGAGGAATTTCGATAAACCCCACAAATGAGATGATAAATAATTTTTGATAACTAAATGCTAATATTATTACAAATAAAGGTGTAATCAATTTATAACACCTGCATTTTAGTAATGAATGCCTGAAATAATTATTTAAAAAAAGTTTGCTTTTTGATGGTAAATATTACGATTTTGTTGCCAGGCAATCGATTCAGATTGACCGTTAGCGGTTTAAATTATATACATACATATTTATTTAAAGTAAACTAAAAGTTATGTAGCTTAAGCTGGTTATTCATTTTCTTTTTCAAAATGATGGCTGAAATAATATACCTAAAATAAACAAAGACTTTTGTGGATGAATTTGGTTATTTATTTTTGTTTTAAAGGGTTTGCCTTCCTCGGAAAAAGAATGTTTTGTCACAGTTTTTTTTTTTTTTTTTTTTTGTACGAAGGTTCTAAAAAGGAAATGCGTTTCTTTTTTTAAATATGACTATTAGTATGTAAGGCTTAGAGTAAGGTAAACCAAAAAGAAGCTTTTATCTTTTATGTCTGATTTAAGACTTTACCTGAAATTATCAAGTTAAAGTAAATTAAATGACCAAAGTACTAATTAAATGACGTACTTGTTTTAATAAGGAATTGCAAATACGATACAGAACAACAGTGTTTTAGTATCACGTGTATATACATCTGAGAAAACTGATGCTTGTCTTGTAAAATAGGAATGCTTTGAAAGTCATTCAAAAAGATGATGAGAATGCAGCTAGAGAAACAGTTTGAATGCTAAACGATTCAAAGTGCTAAATTTGACGACAGTCACATGAAAAAAATGGCAACTAGTAGTAGCGTCACGTTCCTAATGATATATCTTCATACTTTGTTTCCAATACTTTCAAATTTCAAATAAAAAAAGATGTGGTTAGTTGATTAATAGAGTGTGAAGTCTTGTGCAAGACATTCTGGTGTCTGTACGATTTCTCTTAGATGAAGGACTTGTTCCAAACGTTGTATTTTGGTTACACATCGGGTCCCACAACGATCTGGCAGTCGTTTGGCTTTACGGATGAATTTTTCCATGAACTCTGAAAAAAGTTGTAAGTATGAGTATACTGAATATTAATGATAACCATCTAAAGAAATTTATCAATAAAAGTAATAAAAGTAATTCATTTTAACTCTAATCTAAATATTGATTAACTTTAGAACAATTAGTTTTAGAACAACCAAATGAGGAATTTTAGGTGAAGAGAAATTCTGCATACGTTCGAAGTTGGTATTTTTAACCAATATCAGCGAATTGATGTACATTAAAATCAAAATTTAATTTAGAACCCATAGTTGTCAACTCTTTCGGGTTTACCGTGAGATTTCCGGTTTTTCACCACGCCTACTTGTCTCCCAATAGATCCCAGAATCTCCCGGTTTTTTAATTAAAACGTTCACAGCAATAAATAGCGTTTAAGGAATTAATGAAAGTTAAATTGCACAGATTTCATTCCCCACCCCAAGTGATTTGCAGCATAAATTTTTTTAATCAATGAAAATCAAATACAAATATTAACTGATTATCAGTTAATATTTGTATTTGATTTTGTTTTACATGTTTATAAATACACAGATAAGGCTATTTTTTACATGCTAATGTCTTTTCAGTGTGCACAGTTGACATTGGGGGACAACCGCATATCTACACAGTACGCGTTCACATGGGTCCCAAGAACAATTCTTTTTGAATGTGTATGAGGGTATCACGAACAACTTGTTGACGGAGCCATATCTCCTACCAAAACGACTCGACATATATTGTCGTACTTTTTGAGGAAAGCTTTTACCAGACATTGTTTTCAATATTTTATGTCCCGAATAGTTTTCGTAATAGACTAGTTTCACCAGCCCATTTCAGCAATGATGTGTGCAATTAATTTAATGCTTTTTTAGGGCAGATAGATTGGCAGTATGTAGCTATTTCGATCAACCGAGTTACTGAGTTTCGATTTCATCTAGAAAAACCTTGTCTATCCGGTTGATTCTGTTGAGGGACTCGTCATTTGTATATATGTAGCGGCCACACGCATGCGAGAAATATCTGGCATCTTTCAAAATGTACGCCACTCATTCAGTCGACACTGCCAAATATATCATGCACGCAAATTTTAGCAATTGTCGTAACCAATGTTGTAAAAATACACTTGCAAAATGTTGTAAGTAATCCTCTATGTTCCTTTCATGTTTTATTTCTTATGTTTGTGCTTCAACACAAGAAACATTATATTTCTGTAAAAAAGGTTTGTTACAGTGGGCTCTACTATCCCACAAAGTTTGTTCCGTATGTTTTGAATCACTCTATATACACTTAATTTGTTGAGACAGGTTACTTCGAAGCAGGAGATATGAAAAATGTGCAATGCCCTCGCAGAGACTCGAACCTCGGACCTGTCGCATACGCCCCGAGTGTGCTGCCCACTACACCACGAAGACATGTTAAGAAGGCGGGAGAAATACCTTATATACTCCCCCTTTTAAAGGGTGGCTGAGGATTAGGGAACCCAATCGCCAAATCCTGGTGGTGAAGAATCATCATCCACCACCTTTTTTAGTTCGGGCGCCACTGTAGAAACGTTAGGTATTTTTGAAAGCAGGAGAGATGAAAAATGAGCAATGCTCTCGAACCATGGACCTCTCGAATACGCGCCGAGTGTGCTGTCCATTGCACCACGAAGACATTCTAAGAAGGCGAGAGAAATAAATTTTAATCCATATTTTTATTAGTTGACCGTTTTTGTGCTTCAGAGTCGGCCTGGGACTGTAATTTCTCTGAAACAAGTATTTTGTTTGGGTACAATATCATAATATACTTAAAAGTGTCATTTTTAGCACTTCGTTCATTCATTCATAGTGTATGAATTAGAAATTTTAATTTGTCTTAGTAAATTGCAGCTGATTATGCTGATAAACTGCGGTTTTAAGAGCGTCATTGCGGTTGTTGTGTCAAATATAATTAAATTAGTGATTTTCAGGGCCGGTGTAACTGGTGCAGTTGCAGAATTTGAAGGCGGTAAAATTTTCGTAATTCAGGGCGTTATCAGAAAGTAGAATTTAGGAGCTACAGAACTTGCATTGGGTGGCAAAAAGCCTAGCGCTGGTCGTGATGCTTGTTCTATATGTCAATTAATGCTTACTCTAAGTGTTTTTGAATTCCAGTTTTCAGATGCTGATAATCTGGTCTCAAATTAGTTATAAAAGTAGAGTAGGTTCTGAGCATGAAAAGACAAGACCAATGTTCCCAAATTGTCCCTTCCCCCCCCCAAAAGAAAAGCTGGATACTTGCTCGAAAGCATTCGTGTTGCCAAATGCGAGCTTCATTACTGACCAACTGATCAGTGGCCAAATTGGCTGAATGATTGTGTTTGTCTGATTACGGCAAATCACGCGAAGTCTATCATCTCCCTAAGAGATGATGTGCCTTTATGGAGGCCTTGCTGAGGGAAAGGGATTCGTATTCATATTACACGTAAATAAAACTTCAAACTGTATTTAATTCCAGGTCGATTTACAGTGTACCGATATTTTATTCGTTTGGCCACTGGTAAGCCAGCCAAATCGCCTGAATCCCCAAAATACTAATAGCTAATCCCATCTTTGACTGAGTTCAACTGTCGGGCAAATTTTTGGAAGAAGGATAATTTTGCGAAATTCTATAATCAAGTGGCTGCCATGCTCATCTGGTTTAACTGCTTAAGACTTCTTTTTGTGGGGGATTTGAAGAAAAGAGTAGACCGTAACAATCTTCGAACCATTCAGCAATTGAAAGCTAACATCCATGAAGAAATTGCACAAGGAAGACAAGAAATATTACGACAGATGATGATTTACTACTTAGAAAGAACGAGTCTGTGTAAAAAGCAAAATGGTTGTTATTTAAAAAATGTAATTTTTCAAAAATAAAATAAAAGTTGTTTTCAAGAAGTTTGTTGTCTACTTTTAAAGGCATAAATGTATATTATATATATTATTAATAACTAAATAAAATTATTTCATTTTAAAATGATCTAGTGACTTTGGGGCCATTCTCTATTAATATTTTATTTTAATTTTCCTGCTTAGGTTTGTAGATTTTTGTTATGTACAAATAATTTTTCCTTCTCCAAATTTTAGAATTCTTTGAAATGGAGTTTCTGTTACTTTCATAACGAATATTTTTTACCTAAAATGTATATTATTTTCAAATGTTCATTCTGTGCAAATCAATATGAACTTTGATTTATTAGCAGTACCATTTTAATGCCAAACGAAACGTGTTCATACACTTTTTTCCGCAACTATACACGCATTCTTATAGTATATTTAAGTTTGTGACAATGCCATATTTATGAAGATAAATAAAACAGCTACAACTCACTAATTTCAGTTTTCATAAACAGAGAAACTGAAATTCTTTTTCAAATTTAGTTAGAGTATATAATAAATGAAACTGATGAAAATGGTATAAATGCCAACTGAATCTTTCGGAACTATAACCTATTGCATCATCACCAACATCAGAGAAGAGATTGTGCTGACAGTCTTTCAAATATACTATTAAAATATCTATGTAGTTTCGCAATAAAAAATATAAGCTTTTATTTCATGACATATCATTTAGAAATTCAGTGTTCTGAATTATTATTTTATTTTATATTACTTTTAAATAATGCTTTTTGTTATTTTTTAAATATTACATTGGAAGGTTTTTGCTTTGACAACCGGTCATCAAACCTAAGATTTCTCGATTTGCGTACAACTGATTTCCAGTTATCGAAACCATTCACTACACTTTTCCGATTTCAAATTGATGACTGAATTTCTTAGACTGGAAGTTCTTTTAGAATAGGAAATCAGATACCTTAACTAATAGTAGGTTTAACATTTTAGTTTTTAAAATTTAAAATTTATTTTGCATTTATCTTACAATGTAAATTTAAAATTTATTTTGCATTTATCTTACAATTTATCTTACAACGTTTATTAAAAATATAGTAAAGAGGTTAATCTCATTGACTTACTGGTTCTCGTAGCCCCCTGCAGCTTGAATTGGAAGGTTCCCATGAGTTGCTTCAGTTCTTCTTTAGAAAGATGTTGCTCCGAAAAATCGCCAATTTGACCTTTGAGAAATACAGAATGTGCATTAATATAACAACTACGACTGTCGTACAACTCCCTTCCTTCAAAAAATATAGTTACTATTTAATCCTTTTGTTGAAAATATGCATTAATCTTAAAATATACCAATGAGTTCTGAACTGCTTACTTAGATTTCAGTTATTCAGAAATCACAAAAAATTTCAAATCTTTTCTTTAACACTTGCGAAACGTTTTTCTACAGAAAGATTTACATGTGCCAATGTTGCCCAATAGCCATCATTGAATTAAATACATTGCTCTTTTCTCTTAGAAAAGTGGTTTTATTTTCAAAGTAAGTATTTGCCAAACGAAGCGTTTTTAACTCTGAGGTTCGAAATTAGTGATTAAAATTTCGAGAATTTACAATGTCATAATTTTTATTACATCACATTTTGCTTAATCCAGAATTTTATTTTGACCAATTGTTTTGAAAATAGTAAAACACGCCCGACAGAAAAAATATCCAGACAAAAAAAAAATCAAATAGTAGTTTGATTTATTAGTTATCTAAACAAAATTTCTGTGCTTTTATATCAACATCTACACGCTCAAATGTACTTTAATTATACTTTTAAAAAATTCAGTCTGACTGAATTGCTACGGTTTTACGTGGAACTCTATGACTTTATTTTGTGTAATTTTTATGCTTTATAAGCCTTCGAATGTTAAATATTAATGGAAGAAGAAACATCACATGAGAGTTTAAAGTTTTGAAATATTTTTAATCTCTATTGTTCACTTCGTACGATTTGGACACAGACTATTTTAAAGTTATACAGTGACAATGATTTAATTTTGGTATAAACTGTGTCATTATGATGGCTTTTATCTCAGGAGAACTGAAAAATTATGCAAAATAGCCTAATTTTGAGATAAGCACCAATAATTTCTTAAAGCTTACTGATAATAAGAAATTTAATTGGTCGCGACGGGCATTTTGAAATTAAATATATTAGCTCTCAATCGAAACTACCACAGCAATAATTCCATAGAAAATTTCTTCTCTGCATATTCTCAGCAAGGCATCCTGCAATGTACTATTTAAAACTGAGTAGCAGAAAGCGATAGGAAGAGAAGTTATAATATTTTTTTGATATAAAATATAACTAAATCACTAAAATGCAATAATTAGTTTAACACAACTCTTTTATTCTTTAAATTGCATTTAATTCTAGTGACGATAATGTTCACCACTTTGCTAATAAACATTAAAAATTAACAGTATATTATATTGAGGATTATTATATGCTATAATTACCTAAATTGAGAAACATTTTAACAATAGGCTTTGAGATTACAGAAATTACAGTTCGAGGCACCAAAAGAATCCTCTAAATACTTAAAAATATTTTAAAGTTGTTTTCAGTTGTTTGAAGGGAGGCGAACTTGAAACTCTAAAATAGCTTTTTAAAATAATTTAGTGTTAAATATCAAAAGAATCTCCAACATAATTCTCATTTTAATCGAGCCACCGTTTTCTCCATTTCTTTTCTTATATTTCATTTAAAATAATCCTTATACATACCGTCTACTATGGTCCAAGTGAGCAACCTCGTGCTATGGTCACCGGTCAGTGACTGGAAAGCGTATTGATAATAAGAGCTGGAGACGCTAGAAGCCTGACTTCGATGAACTAAAGTATTTGTTTCAGGAGGTAGGCATTCTTCTATGAAATCTGCCATTGTTCTAACATCTTTATCGAGATGTGTGCCTTTTTGCTGCATGGTAACAGAAATGGAAGGCTGATATAAATTTGGCTGAACAACTGGTGTTACTCCTTGGCCTGTAAAGAATTATCAGATCATAATTAATTTAACGCCAGTCAATGGTTCATGCTAGTCAAGACATAAGAAATATTAAAATCTGCCTTCATTTTTTAATGGTAGGAAGTAATTATGCGATGAACAGGTGACTGAGATCAAAAAAGATGTTTAGGAAACTTTGATTTAAGCAAACTTTGTGCAAACAACTAAATAATAATTTTACGTATTCCCCTTTTTTTATTTTTGCCATATTATTAATTTATAACCAAATCATATATAGTTATTTGAATGTCACAAGAATTTTATTGGATAAAATGGCTACTTGTTAAATATTCATAAGTAAAATTATTTCACTTCGTTAAGGCGTTCTGTAGGTGTAATGTTTTGTTGAATACTACCACCTTGAGTAACGAAAAAAAATCCCATTTCGATCAAAGGGATAATTTTTCCTTAAAATTACATTTAAGCTCAAATAGGAAATTTGCGACACCAATATTAGAATGTTCATATGTTTGGCTTAAGTAAGCAATTATAAACTTTAATCCCACATTCGCCATCTTCTCGAACGAAATTCTGCTAATATAAAAATTACTAAGATTTTTACTTGTAATGTACAACAATTTTACTTTATTTTATTATGATACATCAGATGCTATCATTTTTATATAAATTAAATTTTTACATAACAATTTATATTAATTATGTAAATATAACTATTAGAATTTTTACGTTATTTATAAAGTGATAAAATTTCTTTTTCCTTTTCCCTTTCTGTATTATAAATCATCCACTAGAAAAAGTAACCAACAGTCTAGTAGTTGGAAACTTGGAGGTTCAGTTTGTCATAAAGCTGAGCACTTGCAGTTTTTCTTACAATGGATCAAATAGTTTAATTATTAACATGATGCGATTGCCTGCCTATAAGAAAAGATTCAATGAAAGAACTTCTTGTAGAAGACTTCTATGAGAAACTGGCTTATGTTTATAAGGAAAATCTCATGCAACCGGCTAGCTAGTAGGTGAACGGATAAGACCTATAAATACTGGTAATTTGATTCAAGTGTGAACCCCGAGGAACAGGCTAAATGGTTGGGCGTTTTCATGGTTTTCCCTCTATGAGTTACTCTCCGCTTAGAAAGTCAAAGGCTGTTTAAGCCGATAGCTGAGAGGAACTTTGTCACAATCAATTAAACAATAACATTAAGCTAATTTATTCAAACACTTAAAATGGAAAACCTGATAGAACTATTAGGGTTTCGTTGTTTTAGTCTCCTGACTACTGGTGGAACCAGAAGTATTTGTGGTATTCCTTATAGGGAACATGTGCACGAAACAGTCTCCGTTAGCATATAAAATTTCGTATGAATTTCGCATCAGTTTAAGTGAACAGCTACAGCCGAAAGTGGTAATCCTTATAAGAGCATAGACTTCCCAATATAGAGTGAGTGATATTCTAACGATTTGAAAACCGATATTATACAATATTGTTACGGATTTTTTATTTAGTTGACTAATTTTAGTAGAATTGTAATTAAAATTGTTTTATTTCCCCGTGCAATGCAGCATGACGAATTTTAAGAGAAAGCTATGCCGCAAAAGTAAAAATACAAGAGCACGTGCATTTAACATTTAATAAAGTTTATCTCTGTAAACGATATTTAATTTGAATAAATGTAATTGACAGCAATGTTAACTGTAATTCTACGCTTTTTGCTTTCCAGAAATTGCTAGAACGCTCTTTTGCGGCTGATTTAAAATGTTATAAAAGCCAGAGAGAGAACATCTTAGCTCAGTTGTTTATTAATTGTTGTTTACTTATCTGCGGTAAATTTTGTTGAACGGATTAGCTTTCTCTGCGCTTTGGATTGTGTTCTATTTAACGTTTTAGTAGTTTAAAATATAGCTACAGATTGTATTGCGTGATATTGTAATATTATACAAATATTTCAGCCTTTTGTCTTATTTCTTGTGATAAGAATAAATTTTATTAACTTTTTATCGGACTTGTGTATTCAATCTTTTACGAACCCATACGCACGCAATAATACTTAAATTTGCTTATTTCAATCGCATGCTTTATCATCGATTCCATTCACATTACTCCTTATTTACCTTTTACACTTTTAAATCAAGAAGCAGTAAAGCAAAGCCACACTAACTTCAAAGGATAGTGAATTTTCCTAAAGACTTCAAAATACTTCTTTTGATGTCTTAATTTAACGAATAATGGTATTAATTTTTTTTTCATTATTTAACACATTTTATTGTCTAAATGAAGAACTGTGAAACACATATTTTTACCTTTAGGTGCAAGTAATTATGCTTTTAGAAACGTTTTCGAATGATGTGGCCTTCTACACTCATTTGGGGTTCATCGGTAGTTTGAATACTGTAGTGCTGAATACTGGTATTTTGATCTGGATTCGTGTCCTAGCAAATGCATTGGTCGTGAGGCTGTTGCCATGGCTTTCCCAGTGTAGGTAGGGATAGAAAGAAAAACCCTTCTCTTTCTGAGGATGAAATACAGTTCTACCACCTTTACAATCTAAGGATCCTTCTCTACACATCTCCGAACAAGTATCTCTCGATGTCTGCGGCGCCTCCATCAGTCACCCTATCCAGGGAAACACATCGCCGACGAGTTAGATACATGTCTGCGGTGCCTGCGCCACGAGTCATACTGGTTTACCATGACGGTATACAGTGCTGCTGTAGACTTATTTGACGACAGCTAATGAAATTGCGTAAGTAAATCACGGATTCGAAAAGCAATGGCGGCTACTGAGTCAACGTTTCGTTTGCTAAATGACATACGACACGAATTGTTTGGTGGTTTTGTTATTATTTGAGCAAACGTAATCTATGATGTGACATTTATTTCGAATCATAATTTTTGGTAGATTTCTTTATTATATGACAAAATTAATTTGTGATGTGACATACTTAATTTAATTTATGATGTAACATACTTAATTTAATTTATGATGTGATGATTTCGGGTCATAATTTTGGATGGATTTCTTTGTAAACGATAGACTATTTTTTAACACCTTGATACAAGTGATTTATTATTGTAAGCTGCAAAGCGATGGATTTTCTTAATTCATTTCTTAACACTAATTAAGTCTGATTGAATATTTTTCTCTGTTTAAGAGGATTACTACATTTTTTCTGTGTGAGAAACTTCTGCGTTTCAAGAATCTGCAACCAAGAACGTCACTGCTGACGTCTCGTTACAAATGTCCGCAGACCAAGCGTTTGATTAGTTTTCAAAGATAACTAAATGTAACTCAAATTTTCTAGTTGATAACACTAGTCAATTAATGTGAGTTCTTTATAATTTTCTTTTCAATTTTTTCTTTTTTTTTTAACTTACGGAACACCAGGTTTGACTCGTGAAATCCCAGGGTTCCGTGAAACAACCTAACCCTAGTTTTAAACTTGAATTATTATATTTTTGATTCTATAATTTTGCAATTTTTTACATTGGTTATTTAGGCCTGTAGGAGTTGGACTGATAAAGATACAGATTACTTTGTTTTTCTGAGATTGTTTTAAGTTTTAAGCTTTAATTATGTTTAGAAACAGACTAATTTATTTTTACTTCTTTCGTTGCACCAATCCCCTTATGATGATACACTGAAGACGCAAATTTCTTATTTCTTTTTGGTTTTGACATGTTTTGCCTCTTTTTAATTTACAACTTTTATTTACATTTTTTAATTTGAATTTTTATTGGTATTTTTAATCACTGTTACGTTCTGTCTCTTATTAAGCCTCCTGTTTATTATTACTGTTATTACTATTACAATTTATTTTCGGAATTAAGCCTTGAAAAATAAAAGCGTTGAAAATTTTGCAAATTATTATGTTTGTTCTGAGACCGATAGCGGTCTCCTATTGGTTACAAATCACGCCATCTACTTTGACTGCTCTGACTAGATTAATATCTCAGAACAACTTAGAAACAAAATTATTCAGTGGACACGAAATGCTGTCAGGCGACAAATCTGCAAAGGAGATTTTACAGTGTTGCTAAGCCTTTGTCTAGACTGGCTTTAAGGGAATATGTCATTTTTGTTCAACAGAGCGCATTACGTTGACAGCCTTTTAAAATGTTGTACTTTATAATATATTTTTTTTTACTTAACTCTTTCTATAAGAATATTCGATAATGAAAATTGCTTCTCAGAAAGTTATCCAATTTCATTACGCATTTCTCGCGAAAGTTCCTAGGAATATTACAAATTAAGAATTTTGTCATTCCGTTATGTAATGTGTTATTTAATAACAATTTACACAGTTATATAGCCCATCATGTTCGATTGGATAAGACCACTCACAGGCAGTTCGACTCGGTTTCGAATTCTTGAGAATAGGTTGGCTGCATGAGTGTTTTCACTATTTTCCTGATACGTAGTGTAAATACGATCCAGTTTTCTTCAATAACTTATTTTCCTCTCAATTTGCATAAAAATAAACCGCATGGAAATTATTAAATTTCGCATAATAGTAGCATTGATTTTTTTTCTAATAGCCGTCATAAGCGTTGGCCACTACTAAGGGTGGTCACTTTATCATGTAAAGCACCTAACCTAATAGGTGGGCCACATTGCCTCCTATGAAAGGTCAGACAATTTAGAAAACTTGACTTACAGACATAAAATAGATATTTATTCCAATGCTTTGTCTGCTTTATACGCAATTTCTAATACGCATACTAATAATTTATTAATAAACCAAATTTAAAATGATTTCAAATTTTTTGCTGAAATACATAGTATAAATTTACACTGGATGAAGGCCCATGTTGGGTATATTGGTAACGAGAGGGCGGACACACTGGCAAAGGAAACTGCTCAAGGCCTAGGAAAGAAAGATATTGAAGTGATGTATTCAAAAAAAAAGTTATTAAATATTATGAAAAAGGAGATATTTGTGGAATGGAAAAAAAATAGTAATAGTCTGAAAAAAATAATGGTTATATCAGATTTTTGAAAATTGATAAATGGTTTTAATA